GTATATGATTTATATGTATTTATATGTACATGTGTATATGATTTATATGTATTTATATGTATTTATATGTATTTATATGTGTATATGGGGAAGCTCCCCTAGAATCGCCTCTGCTTTCTAGTAACATGAAGATGATATGTAAAATAAAACCAAAGCTATTTGCCATCAAGTTAAAATCAAAGCAGTGTATAGATAAATAGTGATATTAACTTGTACATATACACGTGTATCTGAATGTTTCGTTATTAACTTGTACATATACACATGTGTATGTGAATGTTTCGTTATTAACTTGTACAAACACACACACACGTGTATGTGAATGTTTCTGAGCAGTGCCTACATGTTGTGACCTGACACCACAAGAATAAACTGATTTGGATTATTTATATAAAGTATTGCTGTTAACACAATAAGCACCTTGTTGGTAAGGATGTGTGTATTCGCTGTACACGGTACAGTTAGTGGACTGCTGGTGGGTGATCGTGTAATGTGAGTCAGTGCTGCTTGCTGACGTAAGGTCAACATGTATTTAACATGTATTTAACATGTACTTGCACATGTATTTGTGCGCCAGCGGCTCTGGCAGGACGGTAGTGTGCAGGTATGAGCGGCTGGCCGCCGTGCGGCAGCAGGGGGCATGCACACAGCGCGAGGAATCAGAACGAGCAGCTTTGCATGGTCGCTCGCTGAGGCGAGCCTCGCTGTGACCGCGGTGCGTTCAGGTCCATGTCTCCGGCGGGACGGCCTCTGGCTTTTTTTCTGGGGAGCATCAGATCGGAGCATATTGTGTGCAGGACGCTGTTCCTCCTGCAGCCCCCCCCAGTCTATCCCGACGTAGCTGTGGACTGAACATGGCGACCGTACCAGTGTACTGCGTCTGCAGATTGCCTTACGACGTGACCCAGTTCATGATCGAGTGCGACGCCTGCAAGGACTGGTTCCACGGCAGGTAAGAGCGCGCGCGGCTCGCGCGGCAGAGAAGGCAACAAAAATGGCGAAGGCTCGGTTCTGACAGCTTTGTGGCTCCGGCCGTGTGAAGCGAGGCCGCTCGGAGAAGAAGGCGGAGTTAGTCGCAGTCCTCCGGGGCAGCGAGCACAGCGAGTCCTCCATTAAACGTTCAGCGCAAACATTGTGAAATGTGCGCGGGCCGCGGCGTTAACGGTTCGCCCGCGTCCCGCACGAACGACGGCGGGCAGCGCGGCTCACATCTCCTCTCCCGCTCGACCACCATTTTCCACGCACGTCACAGTAACTCTAGTCACACAAGCCCCGTGTTTTCACGAGCTCTTCTTACGAGGCCTGGGCTAAAAATCACGACACGAGTGTGAGCGGAGCCCCGCGGCCGCAGCCGTCCGACGGGAGGTGCCTCCCGTCCGGCGGGAGGTGCCTCCAGCGGCCGCCGGACTGGAGGTGCTCCCGTCCGGCGGCTGCCTCCCGTCCGGCGGCGCCATGGCTGACAGGAGTCCATGTTGGCGGGTCCTGACGCCTCGACCGACACCAAGTGACACCGATTCATGCGCGCTCGTTTGTCGCCCGCTGCTTTTGGGCTCTGGCTAATTGCTGGGTTTCTCGGAGCTTAAACGGTGGCGGCGTTGAACAGTTCCCACGTTATTCGTGGGTTGTAATGGTCTGCGTCCGAATCTTCATTGGGATTTTTGAGTATTTGCTATTTTTTGCTCTTCCACGGTTCCGTGTGTGCCCCCGTTGGTTGTGGGCAGCGCTGCGGGGGTGACACGCACTTCGGCGGGACTCGGGGTGTCTTCTGTTCAGCTGGTTTGAGTAAAAAACGCGTATTTGAGTGAAAAGTGTTTACGCGCCTGAATGTTAACCCTTGAGGTCCTGCTGCTCAGTGAGAGAACAACATCCACCGCTCAACGTCCCCAACACACGTTCATACTGTCAGCTCAAGGTGCAGCTGAAGGTGCAGCTGAAGGTGCAGCTGAAGGAAGGTGCAGCTGAAGGAAGGTGCAGCTGTAGGTGCAGCTGAAGGTGCAGCTGAAGGTGCAGCTGAATGTGCAGCTGAAGGAAGGTGCAGCTGAAGGTGCAGCTTAAGGAAGGTGCAAGTGAAGGTGCAGCTGAAGATGCAAGTGAAGGTGCAAGTGAAGGTGCAGCTGAAGGTGCAAGTGAAGGTGCAGCTGAAGGTGCAGCTGAAGGTGCAAGTGAAGGTGCAGCTGAAGGTGCAAGTGAAGGTGCAGCTGAAGGTGCAAGTGAAGGTGCAGCTGAAGGAAGGTGCAGCTGAAGGTGCAGCTTAAGGAAGGTGCAAGTGAAGGTGCAAGTGAAGGTGCAGCTGAAGATGCAAGTGAAGGTGCAGCTGAAGGTGCAAGTGAAGGTGCAAGTGAAGGTGCAGCTGAAGGTGCAGCTGAAGGTGCAAGTGAAGGTGCAGC